GAAGTGTACCTCTGGTGCAAATTACTGACCTCTGTCATCATTTTAAGTGGGGGAACTTGCACAATCGGTGGCTGACTAAATACTTTTTTGCCCCACTGTAATAAGTCTGTCAACACAAATCTTTGGGCTTAAACTGTAAGAAACAAATATGTAAAATTACAGAAAATATTTCTGTCAACATATTTCCCAGGCTGTGTTGTAATTAAAAAACAGAGTTTGATAATTTAGAGAAAATGATTATGGGTTTGCTCTTTATCAGCAGATAAAGCTGTAATATTTATCAAAATACAGTTAAAAAGTCCAAAATCTATACCCTTCTTCACATTTTCCAACTCTTCAGTGGGCCAGATTGGAATCTTTGCTGGGTGAGTGCTCTAGTGGCACTTTGTCAAACTTCAGTTTTTGCCCCATTTCCATGTTGGCTTCATGTTTTGTTCTGTTTTGCTTTGTTTGGAGGTGGGGGGCAGAAGTTACCTTTTGCACTTTTCCCCAACCAAATGTACCCATTTTACATGTTAATAGTCATATTACAAAACTTTTTACAGTACTGCAGCATGACCAGATCTTAATAAAAGCATTCACGCTGACAGGGTGTTTTTCTATTTAGGTACAGAGGCCAATTTAATGTTATTAGTAACACCTGAGTAAAAATGGCTTCTGTGACGCCCTGTGTAAAGTTTCGGTTAAGACACTTTTATTTGCAGCTTGTACAGAAAATAAATCTATCCGCCAGCAGCCAGGACACAGTCGTCTACTTGGCTCTTCTTCCGACATGTTTTTGTGTGTTAATACCTGTCCCAAGGGTTAAGACGGAAAGCTTTCATTAAATCTTCCCTCCGGCACAAACGTGACCATATTCAGACAGGTTGACATTTATACGTTTATGCACTTTATCCGCCTGCTTCACCCCGAACCGCTGCTGGCACGCACACACTTGAGTTGATGACGTCAGTCGCTCGTGGTCTGGTTTATGGAAACATCATAAGCAAACACGCCCGACATGAACTATGTTTCGTGTCTGTTTTAATCGTTATGTCCTGTAGAGGCACGACACACTTGTGGGGGGGGGGGAGTTATTCAGAATAGTAAATAAACACGATGAGCGAAATAACCCTGCGTAACCATGGCAACTGTGTTTGTTTGTTGCCATTAGAGCGCAAAGACACGACCTGTAGGGCTTTTTAGCTGTTATTTTAGCTAACAAATAGTCGAAAAAACACGTTAATTTAATTGAAAACGACTTTGTAAAAGCTTGTAGCTGTTACACAATGGACTCAAATTCGTTGTATTATTCTTTGGAGCTCGTTGCCGGTAGTGGACATATTTTAACCCTCGAGCAAAGAACCGCCCTGGAGTCTTCCTTAGTGCTCCTGAAGAAAAACTACAAGTTCAGTCGAGTGTTGTTTTGGGGTAAAATATTAGGAATTAATGCGGTTTATTTTATTGCTCAGGGGAGAGGAGAAGATGAGATGAAAGACAAAAAGAACCTGTATAGGTAAGACATCCGCTTCAAGTGTCTTTTTTTTAATTTTTAATTTTAGCCACTGTACATTTATTTAAGATCGTGAGATATACCATTTGGCTGCTATTTTGTGGTGTTATTTCCAGCTTGAACTGCATGGATTGGTTCCTACTTCCCCCTGCCTCAGACTCTATGATAGAGGAAGTGTCCAAAGCTACAAAGGGTCGCTTCATGGGAGACCCGTCATTTGTGTATGAACATCAAGAGATCCACAGGCAAGGAAAGGGAAATGAGCCTGTAAATGAGAAGGCAGTGGTAAGTGTGATCAGTGCTGTTTAGTAAGAAGGTGAATTGAATGACAGGATGTAGTGTTTTCCTGTTCCATTCAGTGTTACTGCAGTGTTTAATGATCCAATGAATTCAAACAAGAATCTACATGCAACCAAACTGAACATGAAACTGAATATGTAAACAAACAAGACAAATGCAGAAGAGAGGTTTTTCACTGATATTTTTTTCTTCTTCTTCTTTTTCTGGCTTATATTGGTTACAGTGACAGTCTGTTCTTGGTTACAGATAACAGTAACCGAGGAAAAAAGACTGGCAGTGTCCGTTCATCAGATCGATGCAGAAGTGTCTGTGGTGCCTCGTGGTGCCTTCATCAAGAGTCCACGTGGTCTTGTCCAGCTCAACCGCAGCTTCTGTGGTAAATATGTATATACTGTGGGGGAAATAACAGTTTGATCCCCTTGCTTCACTTCACTTACAAAGAAATGAACAGTCTCTTAATGATCTGAAGGCAGTTGGGAGGACCACGGTCATCAAGAACAGCATTGGTAACGCACTGTAATGGATTGAAACCTTGCAGCACCCACAATGTTCGCCTAGTCAAAAAGGCACATGAAAGGCTTGTCTTAAGTTTGCCAGCCAACAAACGTTTGGCTACTAAAACAAGTGCATTGTTTCTGTTATTCCTTTTCATGTTACCTTTGGGCCAGCATGATGGTGAACCTTAATGTCATACATCATGATATGTTATTGCATTTAGCAACAACAAATACAGTATTTTGTTGTAAGTATCTTTTGTAAAACATGGGCAAAATTGTGTGATTTTTCTTCAGGTCTCTCTGAGGCAGAAGCAAGGAAGCTTGACAATTTCCTTCACTTCAGACCATCAAAAAATATGAAGAAGAAATCTGTCCTGGACATGGGTAATTGGAACCCAGCAATGGACTATCTGGATGCACTCAGTGATGACATTCCTAAAGGTGACACTACAGAGCTTAATCTGTCCTGAACACACATATTTTTTTCACTGCATAAATTTAACAGTGCAGGTCTTAAGATTTGTTTTTAACAAGTATTTCATTTTCTGCTAATTGCTCTTATTTTATAACTGATCTCTCAGCAGAATTGGGTGGTGATTTGACGTTAACATGTGTTCCATTTCCTGTGCTACATTATAAGGGGTGATTTTCACAGAAAACGCTTCAGCTGTTTGAAAACCATAACGGTCTTCTTCCAAGTGGAAACAAATTGCATAATTTTACCAGTAAAACGGTGGTTCAAGTGAGGCTACCAATAAACACAAACCTCTAAAACCGTCTGACATTAACATACCAGCCACATGGGAAGGATTTTTGGGAATATATGCTTAGAAGAATTTTCTCACATTTGGATGGGAGTCAAACTATAATATCATCTACAGACTACTACCATCTATCATTATGTGGCAATGTAGCAGAAAGCATGACATGATAATCCTGGTTGCACATTATTGGGGAAAAAAAAAAACCAATCACACATAGCAGGAAAACATCAACAGTGAACACTGTGCAAAGAATAATGTGAAATCAGACATGCAAAGTCATGTCTGCGAGGTTAGCGACTGGATATGCTCCAGACCAGAGTGAATGCAAAGAGTGAGTGTCTGGATTTAACAGGGTGTGTGAGGGAGAGAGAGAGAAAAAAAAGGTTTAGCACCCTTAACCGAACATGCAGCAGATGTCTGACAGAGAGCTTCCACATGTGTACAAGTCGGTGTGTGTTCTTTGTGTTGATGCGGATGTCAGCTGCATCATGTCTAAAGCAGACAGCACACAGCTGTTTCAGTGCCACGCTCACTGCAGCGGATTGCATGTTCCTGCCTGAAAGGATAAAGAGTTAACATTTCTTAACGGGACACTGGGGGAAAAACAGGATCATGTATCTCCACCAAAAGACAGGTGCTTTCCTCTGAGACCCTAAGCTGGGCTCTCCCCCTTTTCCTTAACCATTCCACAAACCGCTTCCAGCTCCTGATTTACGTATGTTTCTCCTCCTGCTACGCACATTACATGCTGTTGACTTGGGTTTTTTTACTTTTAGTTGCATCATATTTTTAAAATCAAATCCAGAAACAGGAAAGTTGCAACTTGTAAAAAAAAATAAAAAATAAAAATTGGCCTTTAAACTCTTATGTAATCACATGTTTTCATAGTAGCAGGTCCAATTAAATCATTGTTTTAATTCCCTAGGTTCTTGGCGTTCATGGTCACACCCCGAACATACTTGGCAAACGGGTTAGATTATAGACAACAAAAGCGTGATTCACTGGTGTATCCTCTGGCTGAATAGTGTAAGATTTCCAAAGATTAGTGTTTAGCCTTTATTTCAGCTCAGCTTCACGGTTCTGTTGGAGAACATAATTTAGCAGTGTCCTGCTTTTACTATTAACTGTTTACAAGTCTTGTGTGTTTGTGTCTAGGATCTTGGAGTCTTCACTTTGAGTTCGCAAGAAAAGTGTGCGTGCTTCGTAGTCTGCTGTGGTTCGGCCTGACCTTCTACCACGTGCCAATGACACCACAGCATGGATACATCTATATAGGTGACGGGACCAAGAATTTGGACCTTCCTTTCATGCTATAAAAAGCTTTTTTTTTTTCAAGCTGTTACTCTACTTACTCTCAGTAATTCACAAAACCAAAATCTGCTAAGATCTTGTCATATTATAAAACAAATAAAACTAGGTTGGCACAGTCAGTTTAGTGTCTACAGACATTTTGTTGTATTTACTTCCAATTCACAAAAGCCGTGCCTACACAGTAAACACATGTTGAGAGGCAGAGTAAACACACATATTTTATTTGCACATCTGTGTTGCATTGAGTATACACAGTCACCATACCACCTACTTTGAAACTGTAACACTGATCAGGTTGTTGCTTGCATTAAGTTGTCAGCAGGTTTCCTTCAAGAGTCTTTTTTTTTTTTTTTTTTTTTTGAAAAGCAACAGTCAGAATAGATGGTGTCGGGTGGGTCTGAGTGTGATTCATTAAAAGAGTGACTCAGCTTAATAAACAAAAGTTAGAATAAACACAGATGGATGAAGCTTTTAGGAATTGTTCCCCCCCTTCTCAGAACTGTGTGACAACGGTCAAGGTTAACAGTCAGGGATATGGTGGTTTCATCCCTGAATAAATGGGCCCACCCACTTTCCTCCAGTTGTACCAATCTTTCAGGCTTTTGGTCCTTCAGTGTTTTATGTACAAGGGCTTGACACCATAACGCACATTGTTCTTTAGTATTGGGTGGCCAACAGGCATACGCTTCTTACACCACTTCAGTCCAGTTTTATAGATGGGTTTCACTGAGTCGATGGACCAGCGAGTCAGGTATCTGTACAACAAACAGAGATGCAGGGGAATTAACTGCACTGCGCTGGATACAAATGCTGGGAAAAAAAAAGCATACGCAGACATAGATACATGCGTCACCTGTTAAGTTCGGGCTTGGGTCTCTTTGGGACATGGTCTTCTGGAAGTTTGGGTTTATGGTCAGGAAGCAGACCTGAACACACAAAATAACAAGATGCATTTATTAACTTCAATTTCTCAGTACTTGTATTAAAAAAATACTGTTACAAACTCTCAAAAGACAGTTATAAAAGACATAATGTACTGATGACACATTTATTTACATGATTTACTTCTCACTGTCATTACAGTCACCAAATTGCTGCTCAGTTTTCATTTAATGTAATGTTACAGCTGACAGTGTTTATCATCTGCGTAGTAGATAATAAACACGTGAAGCAGACAAATCCAGGTTGTTCTATAATGAATAAAAGACTTGAGGAACAAGCAAGAACAAGTTTACAACCCTACTATCATGTCTTGGTCCAGGTTGCACAATTATTTGCCTTTAGGCAGTGCCAAATTCAAACCTTTCATAACAAGCTGTGATGCTTTGTAAAATGAAGGTATAAACAGAACTCAAAAGTTTTAAAAATTATTTGTGCTTGATTTTGAAAAGTACAAAGAAAATGCAGTGTACTGCCAAAAGTATTCGCTTGTTTGCTTTCACACGCATATGAACTCGAGGATATCTCATTCTTAATCCATAGGCGTTAATATGACGTCAGCCTAACCTTTGCGGCTATAACAGCTTAAACTCTTCTCGGAAGGCTTTCCACAAGGTTTAAGAGCGTTTATGGGAATTTTGGGGCATTTCTTCCAGAAGCACATTTGTGAGGTCAAACACTGATGTTCCATGACCAGGCCTGACTCACAGTCTCCGAGTGCGCAGGCCAGTCAAGTTCTTCCAGACTAAACTCACTCATCCATTTCTTTTTGGACCTTGCTTTGTGCACTGGTGAGTAGACCAGAAGGTGTCAAACCTCTCTGCATTTAACCCATTCACTCAGTGAAGCAGTGGGCAGGGGAGCAGTGTGTAGGGATGGTACCTTGCTCAGGGGTATCTCAAGGTAGCTGTTCAGGGGAATCGAACCCCCGACCTTCCAATCATGGGGCCACCACTCTACCCACTGAGCTATCCCTGCCCCTGTTGGGGAGTGAAATTGTCCAAAATGTCTTGGGATGTTGAAACATCAAGTGTTTCTCTCACTGGAACTAAGGGTGCAAGCCCAACTCCTGAAAAACAACCCCCACACCATAATCCTCCCTCCACCAAACTTTACACTTGGCACAATGCAGTCACACAAGTACTGGTTTCATGACAAACACCAAACCCAGACTCGTCCATTGGATTGCCAGACAGCATGGTAATTTAAGGCTTGGATGCAGCTGTTCGGCCATGAAAACGCACTCCATGAACCTCTCTACGCACTGTTCTTGAGCTAATCTGAATGCCACATGAAGCTTGGAGGTCTGTAGTGAGTACTCTGCAGAAAGTTGGTTTGACCTCAGTGCAGTAAGTGCCTTAGCATCCCATAACCCCCACTCTAATTTTACATGGCCTATCAGTTCATATCTGAGTTTCTATCGTTCCAAATCACTTCCACTTTATTTTAATAATACTAACTGTGGAATATTTAGTAGAGAGGAAATTTCATGACTAGACTTGTTTTTAAAAACAAGTCTCATCCACCTGAATACTGGAGTTAAGGACACAGTAGCGTTTGTTGACACAGGCAGCTAGAGCCATTCAGTGTCTGCTAGGGTCCCCCTCCAATAACAGGACTCACTGAACTGCATCTCTCTGCTGTCTTTTAATGGAATTACCAACAAATATTATATAATAATGCATGTTGCTAGTATTCATCCATATAAGGTAACTGATAGCTCTGAAAAATAGTGGGTTGTATCACAATGGCTATATCAGTGTTTTATATTAAAACAGGAAAAATGTTGGAAGGGTCCAACAGGTGGAATATCTCACTCATTAGGAATTCATTAGATTCATTAGCAACAAGTCAGCAAGATGCCTGATGATGATGATTTAAAAAATGCACATAAATCTTTAGGAGAAAGACTTAGAGGGGTTTCACAATTGTGTACTCAGGTGAAATCTCTCAAAGCAAGAGAAAAAGCCAAGAATTAACTATACTGTGATCTTCTGACCCGTCGTGTGTGTTTAATGCAAATACTCTGACGGGCTCAGGAAAAGTATGAAAATCATGATCAGTGTACACAGTTTGTTCCCTTGCCGTGCTTAAAAAACGACTGACTGCCAAACACTGAATTCCTTTGTTTCTTGTAACCTGTTTTGCAAGTGCTGCATTACTGCACCGACATTATAATCAATTTATTCCTGCCTGGCCTCTTAAAATGTCTCTATATAACTGGTATGTTACATTTGTTACAATTTGCTGCCCTCTTGGCTACATCTCTTTTGAAAAAGACCATTTTTATTGTCAAACATTTTTACCTTGCTAAATAAAGGACACATAAAAGTCACTCCGCTGAACCCAAGCTAAATAAAAATAGACTCAGACAAAGTGGCTATTAACCTTTGTATTTATTTTATCTGAGTAAACTAAATAACCCACTTACAGGTGGAGAGAAAGTACAAGGAGGCTTCATGATATATGACACGTGTCTAGAGCTGTGGAGGTGCTACTGATGGGTAACTTAAAAACTTAAAGCACAACAGTAGGACTTCCACTGACCTGCTCTGTGAGCCATCTGTACACAAATGGCAATCTTGCGGTGCTCTTCTGGACAGAGACCAGTGACTCTCCTGGGCAACATCCCTCCATCTGACCTGATAAACTGACTGAGCAACAAGACATCCTGGGAAGGGAAAATACAAAAAAGAAAGAGAAAATCAGGCTAATACACTAATATTAATAATAATGTCACTAATAACAGTGAAAGTATTTACTGTGTAGTTGTATTTGTTCTGCAGATTCCATCTGTAGATTGGACACTTGGCTGTGGGATTTGGAGGCTGTGCTCCGACTGGAACTTCCAGAATTTGTCCTTCAATCTAACATAAAAATAAGAGATATGACAGTTACTTTATCAGAATCAAAGCATTTTTATTATACTAATAGCATTTGTTATTTATTTACAAGTGCAGAATAATACTCCTCAACTCCAACATGGTCTCTCACTGCTGGTTACAGAGTTTATTACGTACTTATATTAGGCCTTAAAATACATTAAAATGTTTTGTGTAATTATTCAAAACAATGATGATTCAAAAAAAGTTTTGCAATTATTTAACTTCACAACAATGAAATTTTGAATGGTTCTGAGCTTTACTTACGTTTGTTGTTTTACCATCTTGCTTCTCCACCACTGCAACAAACATTATGAAACATCAGACTTTACATTAAATTTTAATTTTGCAGTTGAATTTCACTAATTCATGTATTAAATGTTGTTTTATTCCAAAGTAGGACGCTCTGAGGCTGGAGCCCAGCAGTCATGGGGTGAGAGGTTCTAGTACACCCTGGACAGTCTGTCGTAGGGCTAACACTGAGATACAGACCACCAATCACAATCATTGTGAGGTGACAGTGCCAACTACTGCATAGTGGAAACAAAAGTGGTTTCCACACTGACATTGTAATTGACAATAAAAATCCTAGATTCAAGTTTTACTAGTCTGTAATTGTAGATATAAACAGTGCTTTTTCATTTTAGTCAACAATCAATATTACTCGTTCAACTACTAACTCCAAAACTATCAACAGAATTGATCTTTCAAACTATTTTCATTAACTGTTAAAGCTATTCCTGTAGCTTTAACACATCTAGTTAAAGCTACAGAAATCTTTCTTGATTCTAAGTGAGAACAGATGACTACAACTTCTTACAATGCAATATTAAAATCTTTACATTACTAGTTTCAAAGTAATATTTTCCTCTGTTTGATCCGTCTTGGGTCTACCAAATTCAAACTAGATATCTATAATTTCCTTTAATTCCGAAAATGAAAGAAGTTCATTCATTTTAACTAACATAAAGTTAGTTGTTAAAGATGAACAACTAATCTTTATATTAATGCATATTATATAATATTTATGCACGTGCTGAATTGTTGAGATTAAAGTTTAAGTTCGACAGTAATGCACACAGCATTCTGTCAATAAGACACTTTTGTAAAATAATCATGACTCAGAGTTGATCTGTGGTTGGTTTGGATAAATGTAGTACCTGTATTAGAATATGTTGTTAGGCTTATTGTTTTTGATTTTGGTAAAATGTGGATTTTTCAACGTTGCCGCAAGCTTACTGACATTTTTAAGTTAGTTTAATGGTTTCTATAACTTTGTTAGAAAAAAGAAGCTCCTTAAAGGTTTCAGAAGTTCTTGCAGTACATAAGGCACAAGCCTCAGGAAATTTAACTGAACAGTCAACACCTGCAGACGCCGCCGACTGACGTTTCACGCAGATGTGGTCGTCATCATTTAACTAATGTATTGTCTCTTTATTGGAAAACACAACAGGAGAATAGCGTGTCCTATAAGTGATAGGAAATGAAAAACATGCGGTGTATTTAGCAAAACATGCTAGTTATCCCACAGACAGGCTAAAGCTGTAACGTTTGCACACATGTCTCACCTTGACGAATCCCTCTTTTCTGGATAGTTAAAGCAGTAAGCTGGGGAACATTTATCGTCCTTAAAGAACTCAAGTTGGTTCCTCTGGATTCAAGTTTTAAGCCCGCAAATGAGGTCCAGAGAGACCTGAACACACTGCGGGCTGCCATGTTTAATTCTTGACCTTATCCTTCGTTCCTTCCTGTCTTCTTCTTCTTCTCCTACATTTTAATGGCTGTTCCTTCCTGTCTGTTATTCTCGCGAGAATAAAAGAGCGACACCGATGGCGAAAACCGCTTATTACATCTAAGAGGGACAAAAAAGGGGGGAAATCCCACAGGTTACACAACTACAGAAACATCGTTGTACATGTTCGTGTATGACATTTGTTTGTTTTAGTTGTTTTAATAACTGACTTTAAAAAAAGCTTTATATGTTGTTACTTTTGGATAACCTTGTTATTTTTTTAATAAGCGACTTTTATAAAAAGCTTTATATCCAAAAGTAAATAAATTTTCAAGTCCAATGAGATTAATTCATAGATTTATGAACCTTCATGAAATGTAAGCCTATAGCCTCAAAGGATGACAAAATGCAATCTGAGATTGAAATCTAACTAATAGATTAACCCACAAACAACACAGCAGCAGAATATCAGGCAAAATTAAACACAAGAGAAAAATCAATAAAGACATGCTACGCTGATATGTATGCAATTTATCTAATACACAGGAGAAAACCAGCGAAACGGGGTAGCGTGCTTCAGAGATATTTTTTTAAACCCAGAGAGAGATCTAGTATAACAGTACAAGTCAATTGCCTTCAAGGAAGATTTAAACTCAATGTCCTAGAGGAAGGACAAATAACGCCTAGTCTAAACCGCAGCATGTGTTTTTGGATCCTCTCAATGCTTTTATCCTTTTGATGTTGTTTTTTAGATTTTAGAGATAGGGTCATCTCTATCCAAGCCGTACTCATCAGATGTAGAAGTATGAGAGACACCAACACAAGTATTGTACAGAACATGCCGAACATTTTGAGCAGAAAGCAGAAGATACAGGTAGACTCTTTGGGGACAGATAAAGAGGAAGATAAAGTATCTGATGTTTGATAACGTTAGCATCTGAACACTATGCCATTGTCCACTTACTTTCTTTCTTTCTTTCTTTCTTTCTTTCTTTGCTGTTTTCTAAGCATTATCTCTAGGCTTTATCTGTTTAAAAAAAATAGACCTTTATGAAACCCTTAACTGCTCCTACATCATGAGATAAGTTAAAAAAAACTTTCCTCGGGGTAAGTTCTAGCTTTCAAGCCAAGCTAGTAATAAGTGTTACATAAAAAAAATCTGCTGCTTAAATGCACATTTTCTCTAATAAAATGTTTTTTTTATTGTTGTTATTTATTTATAGGTTTGTCTTAGAGATGTCAAAATAACCCAACAAATGGCCTCTATTTGTATAGCGCTTTACTTAGTCCCAAAGGACCCCAAAGCACACTACACTACATTCAGTCATCCACCCACTAGTGATAGCAAACTACATTGTAGCCACAGCTGCCCTGGGGCGAACTGACAGAGGCAAGGCTGCCGGACACTGGTGCCACCAGGCCCTCTGACCACCACCAGTAGGCAACGGGTGAAGTGTCTTGCCCAAGGACACAACGACCGAGACTGTCCGAGCCTGGGCTCAAACCTGACGAGTCCAAATTTGAGATCTTCGGTTCCACCTGTCGTGTTTTTGTGTATTGCAGAAAAGGTAAACGGATCATCTCTACATGCATGGTTCCCACCATGAAGCGTGGAGGAGGAGGTGTGATTGTGCGGGTGCTTTGCTGGTGACACTGTTGGGAATTTATTCAAAATTGAAGGCACACTGAACCAGCATGGCTACCATAGCCACTGCAGCAACATACCATCCCATCCCATCTGGTTTGCAACTAAATGCAAACCAGATGGGTTATTTTTCAACAGGACAATGAGACCGAACGCACCTCCAGGCTGTGTATGGGCTATTTGACCAAGAAGGAGAGTGATGATGTGCTGAGCCAGATGGCCTGGCCAGCTGGTCACCTGACCTACACCCAGACAAGGTGGTGACTGTTGGCAAACCATTTCAGGTGACGACCTCATGGAGCTCATGGAAAGAATGCCAAGAGTGTGCAAAGCAGTAATCAAAGCCAATGATGGCTATTTTGAAGAATCTAAAATATAAAACATGTTTTGACTTATTTCACACTTTTTTGTTTACTACATAATTCTGTATTCTGTAATTCCTTCACTGAGAATCTACAATGTAAATAGTCATAAAAACAAAGAAAACACATTGAATGAGAAGGTGTGTCCAAACATTTGACTGGAAGTGTATGTGACAGTGAAAGTGTGAGGGTAAGTGTGCGTGTTGGGTTTATTGTGCTCTCTTTTTTTAGTCCATTACTTTTTATGGTCACTCCTGCCATCTTGCATTGTGAACTCAAGGCTGGTGACGCTGCTCCAACTTCCAGACTTGGAAATCTGAGGGGGCATTCGAGTCATTCTGACTGGGAACTTGGAAATTTTGATGTCTCACTTCATGTGAAGTGCATTAACAGGCTCCTGCCATGATCAGCAAATGCCAAGCCTGGCACTTCCACAGTCTTGCAATGCCTCATCCTGTTTTGGTCAGTAACACTTGTTTTTGGGTTAACCAGCACCAAACTATTCTTGAGTCAGCCGAGACTAAATCTGCATCAGTAAGTAAGCCAAGCCACTATTCCCACTGAGTTGGTCATTACCTCTCGCCATCACAAATGAGTCCTCATTCTGACCTATCATGAATCAGAAGTGACTGTCTAATTCAGCCAAAAAAGTCAGCCAATGTCTTATTGCCCCTTGAGTCGGTCATCTTTGATGTACTTTGGTCAGAGACGACTAATGTCTAACATTCTGAGTTGGGCTACAGTTCCTGTGCCTCAGACTTGGCTGACCTGCCAAATATTCCCCAGAGGTGTCCACCTCCGTCACCCTGCATCCTGTATCTGAATCAGTTTTCCAATCTCTACACCCCTAAGTCTGCCTGTTGTCATCAACCCCATGCCAAGGACAGAGCCTGAGGAGCAGGTCTGCTCTGTCTGCGAGGCACTATAGGGTGGCTGGTTTCCAGCCTTCTGGTTATTTAGCATTCTGCCCTGACCTCCAGTTGTCTCCCCTCTGACAACTTCCCTTCCAACTGCTTGCTTTGCCCTCAGAGGGTCTCTGCCTTATGAGGGTTTTTGATTCCTATCCAGCCTCTAGATGTTTTCTGTCCTCGCCACCCTCCACTTGCCTTGGTCCTGAAGGGTCTACACTGTCACTGATTCACTGCTAATTTGGAACATCCTTCGGGCCATCCTTCATATGATCCCCCAAGACTTTGGACTCCTTACATGGGACATCTTAGAGTCCTCCCTTAGGGGCACCATCTTGCTTTTTCTATTATTTATTTTGAAAGATCACTCTTCTTATGTATCAGTTTTCTTACTTCCTTTCTTTATTTGTGTGTTGTTTTGTTCTTGTTGCCTTCTCTAGCCTCATTCCAGTGTTGCTATTCAAGACATTTAAAATCCTTATTTATTAATGCAGCATGCCTGTATGATAGTATGTCCTACATCTGGGTCATTTTGAAATTAAACAGGATGTGAATTAAACAGGATGTCACTGTTGCATATTTGTAAAGGTTAAAAAATCATCTTTGGGGCTAAATACTTACAGCATTTTGATCAGGAACACTCAATGGAAACTCAAGGTTGCCTCAAGTTTTTGAGAAATATCGGATACTGCAGGCAAAAGACAGCTAAGTTTATATTTAAGATATTAGATGAAGAACTTTTTGTCATAACTTTCAATGTCATTGGACGTGCAGGACAAGCAGAAACACAAGTGCTTGTGGTTCTTATTAAAATTAGAATGGGAGGCTGAGCCTTCACCTTTAAGGGGTCTCTTCTACGGAACCAGCTCCCAGTTTGGATTCAGGAGACAGACATCCTCTCGACTTTTAAAATTAGGCATAAAACTTTCCTTTTTGATAAAGCATATAGTTAGGTCTGGATCAGGTGACCCAGAACCATTCCTTAATTATGCTGCATTGGGCCTAGGCTGCTGGAGGCATCCATTGATTCAATAAGTGTTTCTTCTTCACTCACATTTTCTCACTCCCTGTGTGTTTACACACCACCTTGTATTTAATCATTAGTTATCACAACTTGTCTTTTGTCTTGTCTCACTCCCCTCACTCCCAACTGCTCATGGCAGATGGTTGCCCCTCCCTCACCCTGGTTCTGGTAGAGGTTTCTTCCCATTAAAAGGATGTTTTTCATTCCCACTGTCAACAAGCGCTTGTTTGATCTAATTATTGGGGGTTTTTCTGTCTAGTAATTTTGGGTCTTTGCGTCTGTAAAGTGACTGTTGTTGTGATTTACCATCATATATCAATACAAATAAAATTAAGTGAATTGAGTCTAGTAGTTTGTTTTCAGAACAAACACATTAAAAACAAGCTTACGTGCAAAAAAAATGAGTAGCAAGCTAACTTTTTTTTTTTTGTAGAGGATTGTGATTTGGGACCATTGCACTTTAAAGTAGATGCAGAGGCATTTCACTCTACCGGTATTGTGTTTGTGAATGTTATGAGGTTAACTTTCAAAAATGTCTACCTTTTTCTTCGCATATTCAAAGCAGGTGCAGTCACCCATACACACACACGTACACACACAAATCACACAACGAGACACAGAAGACGTAAGCCCTGTAAATGTTTTATGAGAAGCTAATGAATTTAGCATGTTTGTTAGACTTCGTGAGAATCTAGCGCTGAATGTAAGCAAGTTTGAAGTGCAATAGAAATCTCAGCAGGGCCTCTCTTGTGCATTTCCTCAACAGTTGGGTTTGTGATCAATGGAGAATGAAGCATGGTGAAGACAAGTAGGTCATGTCGGAAGCATGCACGCCATCGTGGCGCCACGGTTTCACGGACAAAAATGTGAACAATTTCTCAAATGTCATCTAAACTGTGAGGCTTAAAAAAGCCGCACTCTGGGATGCAAATAGACTTCTGTGCTCATCTCGTCCACAGAGCTCAGAGTGTAGATAAATAGAGATTACGGTCACACTGACGGCACAAAGGATGCATTGTGTCTGTGATCAGGTCCCTCCGTTGAGGGCACTTAAGCAATCACATTCCTCAAGAGAAGCCCAAAAAATGTCATTTAAAGTGTCTGA